GTCAGTGAGTTGAGACAAGTTGGGTCTACTCTAGGTGGTTGTGTTGTGTCGGGGTTGTTTGTCAGTGAGTTGAGACAAGTTGGGTCTACTCTGGGTGGCTGTGTTGTGTCGGGGCTGTTTGTCAGTGAGTTGGGACAGGTTGGGTCTACTCTGGGTGGTTGTGTTGTGTCGGGGCTGTTTGTCAGGGAGTTGGGACAGGTCGTGTGGGGGGGGGGGGGGGGGTTAGAGTCGGGTCAGATTTCCAAATAGTAAGGGTAATATCTCAATTCCAATCATGGAGACAGGTGTGACGCCAGGAGTTGCTTCATGGGAAGGACTGTACTGGAATGTACTTTATACTCCTTGCATCTTTGTACAACCGTCTTAACACATGCTCTTTGCTGAGGTAAAAACAATGTTATTTTCTACAGCACCTATGGGATCGAGGTTTGTTTGATCTGTATCAGGACGGACAGGCTGATAACGGCAAGAGACTTAGATTCCTGACTCACGTCAGCTGCTTGATAACACAGCCCACGTGACACATTACATACAGGGTGGGTTGTGGCCTGGAGACGTTCACGTCATTATGGTCGATATAATAGTTAAACATTGCATACAGGGGGGTCCCTTTAAACCACACTATTATATAACAATGGTCCGGTTAAACGCGTGTGAGGATTAGACGAACTGTATAGGCCGCATCTGTATATGAATTGTCGGGCGTGGAATTTGGGGTGATGTGGTGTGCGTGTGCGCGTGCGTGTTGCAATGTGCGTGTTGCAATGTGCGTGGTATGCTCGTGGGTTTCACCAAAGTAGTAAACGCCTGAATCCTGCATCGCTTCGGGCTTTCCTCCCACATAAAGCTGACACGCCGTGATAGAACTGGAATACTGTTCAAAGCAGCGTTAACCCTAAATCACTCACTCACAAATAATGTAACTAGGAGCCCATGGCTCCTTGATATCCAAAATGACTGCTTCTGTCATGACTCGCCGTCTCTTTGACGCTAGGGGTGAACGAATGTTGTTTTACGTAACATCTTTAAATCCCAGCAACAATATGCATTGGTGTATATCACGATGGTCTGTATATTGTTCAATATGTGGCCGCTAAACAAATGGTTGACAACATTGTCGGGGTACGATGACAAAAAATCTGTTGATAAACCCTCCAACAGGCTAGTAGTTAGAGTGTTCGCTCGTCACGCTGAAGACCCGGGTTCGATTTCTTTGGGTACAAAGTGAGAAACCCATTTCTGGTGTCCCCGCCGTGATATTGCTGGAATCTTGCTAATATCGGCGTAACAGAATACTCCCTCCTTCAGAGCCTAGGGCTTATATTTAATAAAACATTCCACTGTCATCTTCACAGCTCTAGCAGTCTGTACTCACCCCCTCCTGAAAGTAAGAGACTTGACGATTCTTAATATTTGAAAATTTCTTTAAAGAATTATTATTATTATTTAAACTTGTAATATGATATCAACGTTGCATGTACTGCGTTCGTCGGAGTCAGAAAGGTTCCCCCTGGGATCACCTGTTGTAACCTTAGAAGTACACGTTGGGTATCGTTGGTAACTTGACAAGGATAGTATGCAAATCGTTCTGAATCTGGTTCAATAACAATGTCGTTAACAGGAATGTCAACCAACACAGCGACAGTCCAGCGATTATTTCAGACCAGGAAGTTTCTTAGTATGCAGCAACTGATAAGAGATACACAATATCCTGGCTAGGTGAAAAGTCGACCCCTTAATGTCGTCACGATCAGTGAGTGTCTCGAGTGACATCTGCGTGACATATAGATCACGACGTTTCCCTAGTTTACTGTGTTACTAAAGAGATCCAAAATAGATACTGTCACGCCTTGGGGATAACAGAGCTGACGAGTTCCTTTGTAGTTCCGGTTCCTACGCAAGTGGCCATACTGGCTCCTTAAGACGCAGTGTATGTTAATATAGGGTATGACGCAGTGTATGTTATTATAGGGTATGAGGCAGTGTATGTTATTATAGGGTATGAGGCAGTGTATGTTATTATAGGGTATGAGGCAGTCTATGTTTTTTATAGGTATGAGGCAGTGTATGTTATTAAAGGGTATGAGGCAGATTATGTTATTAAAGGGTATGAAGAAGTGTATGTTAACATAATGTATGAGGCAGTGTATGTTATTATAGGGTATGAGGCAGTGTATGTTATTGTAGGGTATGAGGCAGTGTATGTTAACATAGGGTATGAGGCAGTGTATGTTAATATAGGGTATGACGCAGTGTATGTTAACATATTGTATGAGGCAGTGTATGCTATTATAGGGTATGAGGCAGTGTATGTTATTATAGGGTATGAGGCAGTCCATGTTTTTATAGGGTATTAGGCAGTCTATGTTATTAAAGGGTATGAGGCAGTGTATGTTATTAAAGGGTATGAGGCAGTGTATGTTAACATATTGTATGAGGCAGTGTATGTAATTATAGGGTATGAGGCAGTGTATGTTTTTATAGGGTATGAGGCAGTGTATGTTTTTATAGGGTATTAGGCAGTGTATGTTAACATAGGGTATGACGCAGTGTATGTTATTAAAGGGTATGAGGCAGTCTATGTTTATATAGGATATGATGCTGTGTATGTTATTAAAGGGTATGAGGCAGTGTATGTTAACATATTGTATGAGGCAGTGTATGTTATTATAGGGTATGAGGCAGTGTATGTTATTATAGGGTATGAGGAAGTCTATGTTTTTATAGGGTATGAGGCAGTGTATGTTATTAAAGGGTATGAGGCAGTGTATGTTAACATATTGTATGAGGCAGTGTATGTTATTATAGGGTATGGGGCAGTGTATGTTTTTATAGGGTATTAGGCAGTGTATGTAAACATAGGGTATGAGGCAGTGTATGTTAACATAGGGTATGACGCAGTGTATGTTATTAAAGGGTATGAGGCAGTGTATGTTATTAAAGGGTATGAGGCAGTGTATGTTATTAAAGGGTATGAGGCAGTGTATGTTAACATATTGTATGAGGCAGTGTATGTTAACATATTGTATGAGGCAGTGTATGTTATTATAGGGTATGGGGCAGTGTATGTTTTTATAGGGTATTAGGCAGTGTATGTAAACATAGGGTATGAGGCAGTGTATGTTAACATAGGGTATGACGCAGTGTATGTTATTAAAGGGTATGAGGCAGTCTATGTTTTTATAGGGTATGATGCAGTGTATGTTATTAAAGGGTATGAGGCAGTGTATGTTATTAAAGGGTATGAGGCAGTGTATGTTATTAAAGGGTATGAGGCAGTGTATGTTATTATGGGTATGATGCAGGGTATGTTATTATAGGGTATGAGGCACTGTATGTTATTATAAGGTATGAGGCACTATATGTTTTTAAATGGTATGAGGCAGTGTATGTTTACATAGGGTATGACGCAGGGTATGTTATTATAGGGTATGACGCAGTGTATGTTATTATAGGGTATGAGGCACTGTATGTTATTAAATGGTATGAGGCAGTGTATGTTATTAAATGGTATGAGGCAGTGTATGTTAACATAGGGTATGACGCAGGGGGTGTTACTGAAGAGAATGACGCAGTGTATGTTATTACAGGGTATGACGCAGTGAATGTTATTATAGGGTATGACGCAGTGTATGTTATTAAAGGGTATGACGCAGTGTATGTTGTATGAGGCAGTGGATCCACTGTTCAAAGGGGCGTTCAAATAACTCACTCACCATCTAACAGACCGTCACTCTGTTTACGCACGTCATATTTCCGTTATGCATGTGTAACGACAAGATGACATGCCTTTATCAGTCTGATCATAAGTTGTCGCGTGCCACTCACACTTCCGACAGTGTATACATGGGAAATAACATGGCGAGACTAGGAAGTAGCATAATTAGCAATACTCCCTGGGTTCATACGCAGTTATCTGGGTTTACTGTCACAGAACGTGTTGTTGGGATGACTTACAGTCATGTGTATTATAAATATATTGAGCAAAACATCGTTAGTGATCATGAATGTTTTGGGGGATTCTTTTTTGTACACGATTACAGAACAATGCCTCCCTTAATAAAAGTGTTATTCATGAACCCTATCATATTTTGTTCCGTATATATCGATTATCGCCAACCAGAGTTGAGTATTTTGCAATGCTTTCAAATGTGCAGTCAACAAAATGAACTTACAGATACACCTTCACCACCTAAATGGGTAAAATGTATGTCTTTGGTACTCTGTCGACCCGTGAAGATCCGGGTTAGAATTGGCTCAGCTACCCATGCTTGTTGTAACAGGTGACTAACGGGATCGGGTGGTCTGGATCGCTGATGTCAATCACTGGGTTGTCTGGTCCAGACTAAAATATTTACAGACCACCTCAATAAAGCTTGAATATTGCTGAGTATGGCGTTAAATAATAAACAAACACACTTTGTATTGTCAATCGTGATTATGTCTATCGCTCACTCCTGCAATAGTTTGTAAAGAATATTGCAGGACTGAGTAAGTTTGTTTTAAAAACAGACTGTTTCAAAACAGTCTGGGTAAGAAATGATTTTGCAACCACGCGCCCCCTACCATGTTTGAAATGTTGTAAATTGTGTGCCCCCCTGCTTCCATTTTAAAAATTGATTTTCAAAGATAAGACGTCTACGTTTCTAAGATACCAATCAATCAACAGTTGTGCATTATGCAAATGTGTTTTCGGTAATTTGTAAAAGTTTAGAATCATACCATACCTCAAAAAAAATGAAGAAGTATTTTTTGACTATTCACTAAGCCTGTTCAGTTCATTTTTTGGATGTATTATCGATAAATTTGGATATTTTCAATTGAAAATCAAACATGAGAAATTCAACTGAGAGGTAAAATATCTTTTGGTCCTCAGTTTAGAACAAAATAATCAAACTCACCAACATTCTCAATGTTGCAGCGTGTGATGTTGCTGGAAATACTGTTAAAAGCGGCGTAAAATCACACTCACTCACTCACTCACTCACTCCATGTTGCAGCTTGTCGGGATTGGGATGGGAGCTATAGGAGCTTACATCCTGGCCACCAAAAACAAACTGGTGACTGACGCCATCGACTTCTTCCTCGACCCCTCCTGCGTCCTGTGTCTGGTCGGGTCAGTGATGACCTTCATCGCATTCTTCGGCTGCATGGGCTCGCTCAGGGAAAACACAGTATTTCTTAAAATTGTGAGTAGTTGTGTTGTAATTATTTTCCTAAATGTTAAATAGACAGGTACAGGTTATGATGACATATACATCAGGTGCTCGTTCCTTCAAGCGACCATAGTGGTACGGTTATCGTAATACTTCAACATGGACCTACGGTAGTCGTAACGCTAAAATCGCTTTGTGAAACGGGGCCCTGAGCCTTTGTCAAGGATATCAGGTGATGTCATTCTGATAGTTTTAGATTTTACGTTATAGAAGTGAATCATTTTCAGCTTCATACAGAGTTAAAAATGAAAAAGTTGTTGTCCTTTGGGGTTTATATCAGTATGAAAAAGATGATTATCCCTATAAAAAGATGTATGATTTATACCTCCCTGAAACCAATTGACAAATTATGACATACAGAAATACCTTGAACATACGATGCTAAGTACATCCGGTTAGACAACGTTGTAGTGCTGCCTGTTTATTCTCTTTCCTCCTATGGCCCTATAGTTCGGCTATCACACTACCAACTGTGTTTTGTTACGCCGGCACGGTTTACTTGTATTTACATACACACTTGCAATACACACTGTACTTGTTTGTATGAAAGAACAACAAAGTAGATAAAGGGGGAAATAAATAACAACCCAGGTATTCGAAAACAAGTCGGCAAGAGATTGTTCATTATGATGTATGTGTCACATGACGTATATAATAGGAATAGAATAACACAGTGACACAGTCCAAAAGGTGTATATATCAGTATATCAATAGGGTTTCATCGCTCATGATGAGGCAAAGCACCCAGGGATGTAAGATTTTACATGCGCTTCTATAACTCGACAAGTGCGCGTTGAATCATTATATTTGATTCTATCATCATCATCATCATCATCATCATCATCATCATTACAATCGGGGCGGTTGGGTAGCCTTGTGGTAACACGTTCGCTCGTCATGCCAAAGACCCGGGTTCGATTCCCCACATGGGTACAATATGTGAAGCTCATTTCTGGTGTCCACCGTCTTGATATTGCTGGAATATTTAAAAGCGGCGTAAAACCATATTCACTCACTCGTCATCTCATTATTATTATGACCACAGTTCCACTACTTCCTGAGTCTGCTGCTGCTGGGCCAGGTGGCTCTGGCCATCATCACCTTCATCTTCTACTACGCCCCGGATGTTCGGGACAAGATGGGGTTGTTCCCCGAGCAGGACTTCAAGGACGCCATCGTCAAGTACAGGGACGACCCCGACATGCAGAACCTCATCGACAACTTCCAGAAATTGGTGAGACACCCTGCGTTTGATGGCCAGTCCCCCTGGACACAACGAAATGTCAATGTTCGATACATCACTGGTTACTTCACGTGGTCAACCGCGCAACGTTCTTGTGAAATATACCCGAGGGTGAATGTGTTCTATGCTTAGCCACCATTTAAACATGGGTGTGTACTCTTTTGCCCGACAGGTTAATAAGCCCGTTTATTCACACAGTTCATACAGTAAAACCGGCCGGGCAAACAAATTCCAGGATAAACAAACCTTCGGGTACATGCAGATGTAGATGTTCCAAATGGATATCATCCGGAATTTGTGGCGTCCAGGCTAGCGGGGTTTCACTGTATCAGATGTAATAAATATCATCTCGATCATCAAATGTCTTATTATATTAATTACATTCTCCTACGATAAATATATCCGGGGCTCTTTCGTCACAATATCTGCGTCTGGGGGATGACGTCACCATTTCCCATTTCTATCAGCAACTTCTAACTGAATTTCTATCGCAAGTTGTTTGAAATGAAATGACTAGATTATTTTAGCGTGTTATTCAAATGGGGCTCAATTCGATGCTGTGTTAGTGAATGATAAAATATACAGGGAATGTATCACATAGAATGATATATAACCCAATAGGCCCCATAAATCCATCAATATTCAAAGTAATGACGACTGTTTCAGTTGGGGTGTTGCGGCGTCAGTAACGACGAGACCGGCTACAAGGACTGGAACGCGAACCCCTACTTCAACTGCAGCGCCAACAACCCCAGCGCGGAGAAATGTTCAGTACCGCCGTCCTGCTGTATACCCAAGCCGGTGAGACGGAAACCACTGATATCCCATGATAAATAAATATATGACACGCTAAATATATTTTCCCTATAAAATATGCATTTTAAAAAGACGAATCGTGTATTAATGTCTGACGAAACACAGTTTTACAAAGTGACATACAAAATCCGAATTCAGTTATATTGTGAAGCGTAACCCTTCCATCCAAAGGGCTGGTAACCTGACTATTTCAGTTTTACATGTTGTGACGAGGAATTCTCCACCAGGAACAAATCATTACTGAATATATATTACTCAAAAGAAGTAAGAATAAGATGTATGCATAAACACCTTTTTTCAATTAAAAGCGATGTGTTAGAACCTACACCGAAATGTCGCTCCTTTATTGTAATAAAGTTGTTCATCCATATATCTTATTCATACTCAAACTTCTAAATGCCTCTCAAAGAAGTTAAAGAACACCGGTGGTTCACATCAAAAACTCATGCAAAGTCAAGTCAATAAAACTTAATTCGGATTTTGTATTGCACTTGTAATCAAAGTTAAAATGAGTTTCATATTACTGTTGTGAATAGTGCTAGTCCACTGAGATGGCATGCCGCAGTTTAACATGAACACCCCAGTCAGACACAGTATACTGACGCCACCCCGACGAGTCCCGGTTTTATCCCATTCATACCGGTCGCCAGGCAGGGTAACAATAAGTACCATAAATAACGTCTTTTGGTATGGCATGGCAGATTCTTTTGAATTGTATATTTGTAAACACTGTTTGCACATGACACTGTACTGACTATCTTTCTGTTTTGATTTGAATTTCAGGACCAAATTATGAACCTTCTATGTGGCGCGGAAGTACAGAAGATAGAGGTGCGTGTATTAAATTGTTTCCAGACTGCGCGGAGGTTCACAGACTGCCTCAACTTAGTCCCAAGTGTGGATCGGGTGGTTTCAGTGTACCAACAGTACTTGGGTGACAAAGTACCCGTAGATCGCTGCCTATTATCGACCGTTGGTTTGACTGATCCAAGTTCGATAACTTACAGACCGCCGTGATATTTCTGCAGTGTGATGACGAATGCGTTTATCGCCAATAGTCCAGCCTTCTAAATTCACGCTGGTCCGCTGGCACGAGACAACTAAATTGTGCTGAGGACAAGTAAATTTCCAATGGTGGTAGTTCGAAATGACTAGTAGCATTGGAGGGCTATCGTTCTGAAACAAATTTGGTCCATATTTGGTTATTTACAGACCGCCGTCATGTAGCCGGAATATTTGCTGAATACGACGCTAACACAAAACCAAAATATATGAGGGGTAGTCCGCTTTTCATTCCGAAAACCCGGATTTGTTGATTGGGCACAATATTCTCAGCTTGAATATTGCTAAAAATCTGCCTCAAACTCACTCACTAACACGAAGACTCAATACAAGACGTGATCTCCATGCGTGACTAACATGTTACTTTCCCTCCTCCCTACAGAATGGAATATTAGTAGCCGGGGACACAACGAAGGTGTATACTGATGGTTGTTTGTACGCGCTGGGCTCGTGGATCAACCAGCACTCTCTCATCATAGGTGGAGTCATGCTCGGCGTCCTCTTGCCACAGGTAACTATGTTTCCACTTGTCTTCTGTATTTCATGGTGTCCAAGGCGAGGTGAAATGCGGTTAAATATTATTGCACTAAAACAGCGGCGTACGTGCGTGCGTGCGTGTGTGCGTGCGCGCTAGTGTGTGTCTGCCTGAACTAGCCCGGAAAAATGCCGGTGTTATCGTGCTGGCCCACTTAGATACCATGTCGCAGCTTTATCAAAAATACCCAACACAGTATCGTCATTCGAGGCGACCAGTCTTTGTTTTATCTCCTCGATGAGTGAGTGAATGCCTTGAACAAGTACCATCTTTTACCGTATTTTAGTTTGAAGCGACCCGGGATTGAACCCCCGACCTTCCGCTCTCCGGGAAGACGCTTAATCCACTGATCCATGTCATACATAAGTCTTCACGGGGATAGAATACAAGGGCGGATCAAGCATTTTTATAAGGGAGGGGTCCAAAATATCAGAACCCTCTCTCAGATAATTTTACCGTCTACAACATACTACAATTTGTTTTCAAAGTGGGGAGGGGAACCCCCACACCCCACCCACCCCGGATCCCCATGGTATCCCAGAGTCGTCTAGCGATGGTAGGGGTGTTACAATATGTGAGTGAGTGAGTATGTTTTACGCCGCTTTTAGCAGTATTCCAGCAATATCACGGCGGGGGACACCAGAAATGGGCTCCACACATTGTACCCATGTCGGGAATCGAACCCGGGTCTTCGGCGTAATGAGCCAACGCTTTAACCACTAGGCTATCCGACCGCCCCTACAATATTTGACCTGGCTGATTATATGCAACCGTACCCGAAAGATAACGATTGCTCCAGCTATCAACCACTACTGTGCCTTGCCCAGACTGAGTGAGTGAGTGAGTGAGTATGGTTTTACGCCGCTTTTAGCAATATTCCAGCAATGTCACGGCAGGGGACACCACTTGCCCAGACTGAATTATACACCTGACGCCGTGATATAACTGCTGACTGCGGCGTGAAAGAACACTACTGTTAAGTACGGTTATAACGAACACGCTTATAACGAACTGACGGATATAACGAACTATTTTTTGGTCCTGTCTATTTGCTGTATATATTCCGTACATTTGCTTATTGCGAACTACGGTTACAACGAATTAAAATTAGTTCGTTATAACCGTAGTTTACTGTAACACCATTTCGTACTGTTTTCAGATTTTCCTCATATGCATGGCTCGTAGTGTGGCGGACGGCGTCAAAACTCAGAAGAGGAAATGGGAGCGGCGCTAAACGTGTACGTTCGGTAACGTGATCTTCTAGCGGCACCTGCTGGAAAAAGTGAGAAAAAAAAACTGCCCGTGATACCACGGCGACCTTTGCAGGTGGCCCCATTCTGTGATTACTTCATATGATCATTGTCGGTGTCTCACCCATCCACAAAAAACCTTATACAATGGCACTTCACTGATACATAATGGTATGTACTCAATATGCCTGAAGAGTGATGAATCATCAAGAAAGAATACGGATCAACCAAATAAGAAATTGTGATTTACATGTTTACTGTATTGTCTCGCCCCTGTGTTGCTAATGGAATGATCCAGTGCCCGTGGCGTCAGTGTGTGGGCGTGTTTCACGTGGATCTTTTCTTCAATGGTCAGCCGTACTGCTTCTGTCAAATGCGGATATCAACCACTAGCTTCGTGACAGCTCGTGATATTTCGGAACCACCCGAAGTCAGACAGGGAACACCGGAAACATACGAGTAACGCCGAGGGATCAGCACTCTGTGTGACTGATATTAGTACTTACGAAGGTCTGTCTCAGATGTGCAGAATGTATACTGAAATGCCTTGTCACCTCCACGCTCGTGCCTTGGTGTGTTCTGCACGTAATTACAATTTCTGGCCATATGACAGTATTATAAATATGTATGTGTCCAAGAAAATTGAGCAATGTTGAATGGACAGACCTGTACGTATTGCTCGGGAATGAAATATATGGTGATCAATTTGTTTCCGATGAAGATATTTGATTAATATGCACAGTTCATATATTTAGGGACCGTCATATATGTATGATTTGTTATCACAGCAAATACATACAGGTGTTTCAATAAGGTCATGGCTTTATGTGAAGAATAGTGAAGAAAGAATCGGGTAATCATTAACTCTTTTTGACTAGTTTAGATGCATATTCACTTATCTCATTGTCAATTAAATGTGTATATAGCCGAGTCCAAAAGAAACATTCAAATACAGTAAAATGCGTTTATAACGAACTCGCTTGTAACGAACTGACGGATATCACAAACTTCATTTTTGGTCCCGGTCATTTGCAGTATAGATGTTGTATATATGCTTATAACGAACTACGGTTATAACGAACTAAAATTAGTGGTCCATTTGAGTTAGTTATAACCGTAGTACACTGTATACAGTAAACCCTCGTTAACCCGGGCTCCATTCCCGGGCGATTACTACAGACGACGCTTACACGTCTACAAATTGCCATTACCCCGTATAAAACCAGTATAAGTTTAATCGGCAAATTTGGTAATCCGGGCGATTTTAGTGGGAACGCTGGCGTCCGGATTAAGGAGGTTTCATTGTTCATTTAACATCAAGGGAATATGGTTATAGACACATCCGTGTGGGATAGTTTCATACTTCGAGTTAAACATACTTCGACTTAACAGATGTCAAGATAGAGATGTACATTGTTTGACTATCTAGCGTGTTAAAATTAGAAATACGTACCAAGTATTTTTCCACCGTCCGTGTAACGAGAGTGGTGTGCATGTACGTGTACGTGCTCGTCACTGCTTTATCTGTCTTTCCGTCGAATATCTCGTTCGTACACAGGTATACCTACCTACAAGCCTCACATTGATGCATGGATTGTGCATTAATAAAACGTCATAAGAATATTATTAGCGAGAGGTTGTGGTTTACGAAGGCAATATCTAAGGTTTATGTGATATGCGCTATACTGCCCACAAGTTTAATGTCCATCCTCGTTTATCCAGTGCATTATATTTTCACCTCACTTATGATCCTAGAATCATAGAATAATTTGATTGGACTGCTATCGTGTCATTCAAATCTGACTACAGTGAAGATATAACATCGGTTTGCTATCATCCAGTGGTATGAAAAAAAGTAGGTTAAAGTGTTCATTGGGTGTGTTTACAATCTGACAACATCAAACACGTGACCCGGGTGTTTTATTATTTATGACGGAAAAAGGGGTGAAAGAAAATAACATGTATGCAGTGCATTAGTATCTTTAACACGTAAAAAGAACATACAAATTCGTTAAGTTGTGTGATATATTCTTCTAAGGATTTAATATTTTGAAAAGGTCAATGTTATATAATTGATTGTAAATATATGTATAAACATCTACGTTTTACAAATTTAACATAGTTATTAATTTTAGATATCTATTTTTTATTGGTAAATATAAATATTAATAATGAATATATGAGAAAAAATCTCGTTTTAACTTTTCTTACTATTTAACATAATTTTTTGAGAAAGCCTATAATATTTCAAGTGTCAATATATCTTACAGGTTTCTTACAGTTATAATAGTTGGCTGTCCCTTTATGGTAAACACGAGATAAATGCAGAAATACTTATCGTATATACGTAAAGTTGTCTACAGCGTCAATCAATAACACAGTTTTATTGTGAGAATCATTCCACTGTTTATATTCTAAATCAAATTATAAATAGCATAATTTATTTCACCATCAGTATTTCCCATCATTTCTCACGTCTCGTTCGTGCTGTTCATAATCATAACTGGTTGCCGACCTAATGAAATTATGCAATATGATATGATATGACACAGCCGTGTCAGTTTGACATTACATAATATGTCAAAAAATTGTTATAATGTTTTTCGAATAAATTATGTTTTTTAATGAATTCTTTGGTGTTTATCTTATCATTTTTCAAGAGGTAATAGGCAATTTACAATATCACTATTGGTTTGCTGGGAGCCTGTCGACTTTTACGTATTCTGATGAACGTACTCTTAATGGATATTCCATTTTCCCACGGTATGAATAATAATTACTTTATGCAATGGATATTCACGTCGTATGTTACAGTGCACCAAAGTTGAACAAGCCGACAGATTCAAGGGACGTAACTCTGAGTGTCTTGCAATACCACTTTAAGAATAATCATTTCAACGCGTTGTGATTTATTGTAGCTAACATTTATACAATGTAAAGAGGAATGTCAGATTTTAAAACTACGATGTGTTTTGAGTAAAGATTGTGAGAAAGAAACAAGAGATACTAGTATATCTATAAAAGCAGATGAAGGTGTGTTACCTGCTAACGCTGAACGTTGTAATTCACGTGATGACAAAACTAGACTGTCAGTTACCAAGGAGACTCCTGTGTATACAGGCATACAGTATAACAGTTTTGAGGAAATATCATTGCTATTAGAGAACTGTTAACTTAACTATTCCTTTCATTACAACGAGGAAGAGAAGTGCCGAGGTCTAATTCATCTACATCTTTATCTCAACCCATGCTTGTCGTAAGAGGCGACTAACGGGATCGGATGGTCAGGCTCGCTGACTTGGTTGATTCATGTCATCGTATCCCAATTGCGTGGATCGATGCTTATGATATCACTTACTCCAGACTCGATTATTTAAAGATCACCGTCAAATAGCTGGGCTATTGCTGAGTGCGTCGTTAATAAACAAACAATCCCAGGATAGGTTCGCATAAATTCTTCCAACAAAATGGCACCCCATCACATCTCTAGATCTATTTACACATGTGTAACCAAATCTCTCAGCAATCATATATCCATCAAGTAAACCTATCTCCCTCCCCTCCCTCCCATCGTCTTATATAACGCCCACCCCTCCCATCGTATCATATAACGCCCTGCCCTCCCATCGTCTAATACAACAGCCATTCCCTCATCACGCCGACTCGATGTGAACGCTGTTTGACCGCCGAGGCTGTGTCGCATCCCACGACAGGTGAGAAGCTTTTCGGTGTGGCCCGCCCCACGGACAATACCTCCACCACGGCTCAATGAGGGTTTCTACAAATCGTGTTACAGTGCTGTCAGTGCCGAGCCTGTGTCATCGGCATCATCGCGGTAATTTGCGAGGCCGTGTGACTTGAAGCGAGGACAACGTGACAGGCGACTTCGAGTGTGATATGTCCGTCCTGAGTTGGCGTTGCGGTATATTGTACTCAAGTCGATCTTCCGATGTGATTGTGTAATTGATAGCGCAGACGTCGCTGTGACACAACCCACTCCTCGAACCAGGAAGTTAGTTTAATGGATATGTGTCGTAATAATATTGTTTTGTGTCAAGTACATGAACCAATCATTGTACCTGAATTATGTATTTATCCTGATCTAATGAGTGAATGAGTGTGCTGGGTTAACGGCGCCTTGAGTGAGTGAGTATGGTTTACGCCGCTTTCATCAATATCCCAGCAATGTCATGGCGGGGGACACCTAAGATGGGCTTCAGACATTGTACCCATGTGGGGTCTTTGGCGTGACGCTTTAACCACTAGGCTAAATCGCCCCTAACGCCGCTCTGAACAGTAACACGGCGCGTCAGCTTGGTATGGGAGATATGCCCGAAGTGATCAAGACTGGAGATGTTTACAGCGTTAAAAACGCACAAGCATTGGTACGGTGCGAATATATCACCATAAACAGAGACTATATGCTTCACGCCGAAGACCCGGGTTCGATTCCCCACATGGGTACAATGTGTGAAGTCCATTTCTGCTGTGCCCTGCTGTGATATTGCTGGAATATTGCTAAAAGCGGCGTCAAACTATACTCACTCACTCGTTGGGTAAGCTGACAACAGCCGACAGTGTAGACAAAAATGAACTTACAACTTGGCGTAAGCAGTAGGCAGCATTGGACAACAGTCAACAATTGCGAAAACAGGTGGACAACAGCGTAGAGCAGTGGATACTACGGAACAGCCATGGAAGACAACGAACGACACACAGCAACACCTATGGTCAACGATGATGACAGCAAACTTTTGTTCACAACATTGGAAACCAACAGTAAACAACAGCGGTATATGTGAACGAGCGGACTACAAAGAATTATAGAGGACAATGACAACACTAGAACAACAAATCAGATAGCAAATGTGAACAACTGCGGTAACAGTAAACAGCTGTTGACAACAGCAAACATGGAAAACACCTCACAGCAACGGACAACAATGACTCCTGAAGTCTAGAACTAGATTTGTTTGTTTGTTTGTTGTTTAACGCCTCACTCAGCAATATTCCAGCTATATGACGGCGGTCTGTAAATAATCGATTCTGGACCAGACAATCCAGTGATTAATATCATGAGCATCGATCCACGCAATTGGGATCGATGACATGCATGAACCAAGTCAGCGAGCCTGACCACCCGATCCCGTTAGTCGCCTTTTACTCGAGAGTGAGTGAGTGAGTATGGTTTTACGCCGCTTTAGCAGTATTCCAGCAATATCACGGCGGGGGACACCAGAAATGGGCTTCACACATTGTACCCATGTCGGGAATCGAACCCGGGTCTTTGGTGTGACGAGCGAACGCTTTAACCACTAGGCTACCCGACCGCCCTTTCACTCTAGAACTAGAAGGCAGCAAAGGAGCGTTGGACAAACGTCATTATTATCGAGAAGTACATACTATATGAATATCGAAGTAGGTGATCATATTGAAGATTTCCCTAATCACACTGACTACATCTCTTGTAAAACAAGCTTCCGGGGCTCAGCGGTTAGAGCGTCTGCCCTGAGAGCCGAAGATCAGTGTTTCGATCCCATGGTCGCGTTATACCAAAAGACGTTATAAGATGTTACTTATTGTTACCCTGCCTGGCGCTCGGCATTCCGGGGATACACAAGGTGAGGTGAGGTAAAAAGGGGTTTAACGACGCGTCCAAGATTATTGCACTTATATTGCGACGTAAATGCACATGAGTGTGGCTGCTTCCAATTGTCAGGACTGATGCCGATTTATAGTGCTAGCACAGTGAGATACCATGCCGTAGTTGAACATGAATACCCCACTTAGACACAATACACTGACTCTGAGCCGACCAGTTATTGTTTTAGGTAACAACAAGTACCATATTTAAACGTCTTTTGGTATGACGCGACCGGGTATCGAACACCGGACCTTCCGCTCTCCGGGCGGACGCTCTACCACTAGACCACGGAGGTGGTCGGATACACAAGAACTGATCGGCTTAGATATACTGTGTGATATACTGTGATATACATGCGGCATGATATCTCAGTGGGCAGCACTATAAAACCTGCATTAGTCCGGACTAGTACATGCAGAAACACTCACGTGCGCGTACGTTATATAAGTGAAATGATCTTGAATGAAAAATACACGTCCATGACATGGAAATAATGGAGACACACTACTTCTTATGATATATAGCCGATATACCCACTACTTTTCTTGTCAAACAAACCAGTCACGAATTCTCCGCCCAAATGCCCCAGTTCACTACATGCACATATGTCAAACACTGAGAAGTAATCCATCCAAAGTCAATAACGTTTCCTTGACCTAAATCCAGAGAAAAAACCTCTGAAACTCACTTTTCAGTTCTTATAATAATTCATTCAACACAGTGTGTTTCAGTTCTGATAGATCTCCATATCTCAGACACGTGTTGCGACAGATAAGTGTTATGGTTGTAACATCTCCTCGATCGTTACTATCAATATTGGGTAACTGCATTGCCTTTCCCTTCAGCCGAGATAAAAATAGCAACATTCCATAGACATCCTGTGCACTTGCAGGAATTCCGGTGCCATGGGGAGTGGCGTGTATAACCCAATGAACGTGGTTGTACTCAAGTTAGGAGTGTTGTTATTCTATACGTTGTTAGCTGGTGTTGTTGTGGTAGAAGAGGCGTTGTGGTTGATTTAAGTGATGAGGCATCACATCTTCATTGTATGGTTGTTACTACAGGAGTGAGTGAGTGAGTGAGTTGGGTTTAACGCCGCTTTTAACAGTATTCCAGTTATATCACGGCGTGTCAGCTTAATGTGGGAGGAAAGCCCGAAGTGATGCAGGACTCAGACGTTTACCACTTCGGTGAAACCCACGAGCACGGGTATGGTGCTGACAAACCTAGAAACATAATCGGGGTGAACCGGGATTCGAACCCACAATCATAGGTTTCTGGCGAGTCCAAGGGACGCAACTCTGCACAGCGAATCGCGGCGCCTTAGACGACTGGGCAACCCGTGCCCCCTGTTACTACAGGAAACCTACAACCCGATATTGAATACTATAAGCACATACAGATGGTTTCAACAAGTGTTTAGTAACACAAGAGAGAAAATTAACTTTTTATGTTTTAATGCCGCAGTATTCCAGCTGTATGACCGCGACTTGTAAATAATCGAGCCCGAACCAGACAAACCAGTGATCGATATTGTGAGCAACAAACCACGCCGTGGGGTACGTTGACACGACATCAACCTGACCTCCCGATCCACTTGGTCACTTCTTACGACCAGCATAGGTTTCTGGGAACCATTCCTAACCCAGAATCCCCACGGGGAGGAAGCAAGCGTAACGACAAGGATGCAGCCTTATTGGTACAGCGTTTGCTCGTCGCGCCCGAAAAACCCAGGTTTGATTCCCCAAATTGGTAAATTCTAGGTCCATTCCAGGCGTGTCCGTAGTGATAATGCAGGCATTTTTAAAAGAGGCGAAAACCAAACTCGATCACAAAACAATTTGGACGGCTTTTTCGGATTGTGTGTTTAGTTGTATGCTTAATTGTCAACATTTCTAACAAGTGTCATGCTCATTGCATCTGTATATATCTACAGTACTCTATGTCAGAGTTGTAAATTTCTGGGGGCGGTCGGGTAGCCTAGTGGTTTAAGCGTTCGCTCGTCACGCCGAAGACCCGGGTTCGATTCCCGACATGGGTACAATGTGTGAAGCCCATTTCTGGTGTCCCCCGCCGTGATATTGCGGGAATATTACTAAAAGCGGCGTAAAACCATACTCACTCACTCACTGTAAATTTCTGATACCAATATCAGCCATGATATGGTCACGATAATACTTCAAATTCTTGAGCGAGTTATAAGGCCTGAAACGTTAGAAATAATCACAGTAATCAAAAACAGTTCCTGTTTCTGACAACATCTGAATCAGACAATTCAGACATTGTTAAAAAATTCATTAGAGCGGTAAATCGCCCGTGAGTCATTATTTAAATACGTGCAATCAATTCGCGATGAGACGCACGGAAACCTTTGAAGTAACGAGGCTATTAATATATACATGCAAGAAAAAGCCATAGGGTTATTCAACAACACGCTAAAATGAGGACAAACGTACGAACTGATCATGCTAACGCCTTGTCATAAATATGCCTGCCTGATAGAGTGGTAAATGTTCAGTGAAGATGCATGTGTGTTGCAGTCTACATCCATACCGTGTGATTCTCGCTGCATCCAAAGCTCCTACCTACAATATACAAACACGCTACAGATCCAGCGAACTGCTGAGTCATCGAGCTCCGCGCACTGCCACTCACTCGAACAAGACTTGTGACTGCTCTGAACCCTGACGGTGACGAACGGATGGCCCTCCCAACTGTGCCCAACTGTAGCCTGTGTTCCGGGTAGATGGTCACTGCTGAACTCCTTACTCCGACTCCCCAGCCCGCGTGTGTGAGATCTGGGATCAGCCTGCTCGCGGGACTTGGATATCTCCAATATGGCGAGAGGAAGACCCCGTACCGATACTGGCCGGAGTGCTGTCAGTTTGTTCGTGAAATATGTCCTGTTCTTCGTAAACTTTCTGTTCATCGTAAGTATACTCTATAACTATACTCATCGATTTGTTCATACTTGGCTTTGATGCTGAGGCGGTGGTTCGTACCACGTGATGTCGCTGTGTTTTGATTGTTTGAAAGCATTGTATTTCGTGAGAACCTGTTTTTGTTCGCTTTCGCTCTTTGGGTTGTTCTAAAAACTCAGCTTATACGAATATCCCGAAATTAATATTCAAAGCCAATTAATCCCATATGTTTCCATTCACACTGATTAATCACTGAAGTATGTCAGTGTGAAAAGGAGGGCACAATACTTAAAATATTTTTAACACGATCTTTCCCACACACGGAAGTGAAATATCCGAATATTGTATTGGTATTTTCATGAGATTATCCTCATTGCCTAGCGATCTAACGAAATATATATAGCTAAACCTACATATCACATAAATAAGATCAGCTGCTACTGACGGGAAACCTAAAACTTTCACACAGTCGTCTATAACTATTACACTGGGATTTGGAGATATGTAAATTGTGTATTTCTTTTTTTCCCATTAACCGCCCATTTAGCGTAACTAAGATTAATGAGAACATTGTCGTGTCATTACGCTTTGAAGACTAGCAGTGATATGAATGGGCGTGAATGACATTGTCCAAGATTTGAAATACACACAAACACATCAATAGATTCTCTATCATATGCTCATTAATCACAACATGTCAAAGCGTTTCAACTATAGGCGTTAGAAAGAGACGCCCGCATTATCCATACCCATGCGCTATTGGTAAACATGAACACATACAAGTAAACAGGTATATTTACATGATCATATCAGCCACGGCAGACTGAAGAATCGCCATGTGACTGCAGAGGAATCGTCACGTGACCCTCCTGAGGCATTCGGTCTGTCTTGTGTTATTTCAATCCAGTTCCCGAAGCAACACTACCTGCGCACATGTAACGGCACTGTGATATTGATTGACATAAACAACTCGGTATGTCAGAAAGCAGCTGTGACCGGATGATTTATGACCATATGCATGCCAGGACTGTAAAACGTTACATGTCCACATATTCTCTGAAACTAGGACAATGTGTAGGATTGTTACTCGAGTTTAATGTATTTTCTTTGTTCTTCATCCTTGAGTTAATTTATTATTTATAAAGGAAATTCTCTTCAATTATTTTATTATTGATTAATATGATGACATTTGTTATGATAAACTAATTATTTAATGTTTTAACCATATTTATTATAGTGTACCTTGATTTTAAGAGTTATTACGTAATACATGTATTTTAAAATAATAAAAAAAACACATGGCTTTTTATAGCTAGTATCCGTGTCGGATCCTTGCTACCCCACGATGCGAAGTATTGCACTTGATAAACTCATACTTTCTTAAGAGCGTCCCTTTAGTAGATGATAAAATACATGTTCCAACATATATCACACTACGATTTAATTGCTGTATCGTAATACAGAGATTAATGTCGTGGTAAACAGGTGAATCAATGCAACTTTGTTACAAACTTCTAAATATTATAATCCAAGAGGCAGATCCAGAATGTTGTAAAAGTGTTTGCGTGATGGGAGAACGGGGGTGGTGCTGATCGCGAACACTAGCCTTGCTCCAAGGCTGTACTGACAAAATATCCATGGATGTGTAGTAATTCTATTCTCATAATAGGCAAGTGTAGATATGTGGACAGTACAGGGACTCCAGTCTCTTATAGGGACAACTTGTTCTTATTATTCACATTATCTGGAACTTATGATTTAAACTAATAATTATTGCCTTAGAGACTTGTGCAAGTCTAGCTGAATACCACCAAGTCACAAGGGAACAGAGGGACTGACACAGGCTGAAACGTAAGATGTCTGTAAAGAGGGGTTGGTTGAGTACGCTCACGAAATGTTGATACGACGGACTATAGATTGAATAACTTGATGGTGTTTTAACACGAAGCAGAGGCGTGGTTTGGGAACATTAGAATGTACATTATTTTGTGAAAAACTTATAACGCTTATCAAACACAGACTTAAAACGAGCTGGCCCGTACAATACATCTAAAACAGATATCCCTTCCACGTTATTAGAATAGCATGAGATGACATAATTCAATATCGCTGTTGTCATCGTTATTACTCATACTACAGTCCTCGTTATAATGCCACCTTGGTTATAATGCCATGTTTTTCTCAGAACGGATTTCCGCAGTGCAAAATCCCTGGTTCCTATACCCTGGTTATATAGTGCCATATTTATTTTTAAAATGTTGACACCAATTGGTTATATAGTGCCATATTTATTTTTAAAATTTTGAAGACGATTTCCCCTTCTAATTAAACGAACTAATTGCATTGATTAAGATGTTTTCGCAGCTAATCCTCACACAGAGAATCATTCACTTACTCAAAATAACAAATTTGTTTGATGTCAATGAAAATATCCTTTTCTATAAGACTAAATATCTTTGCATTTCCTATTTCTATATAGCATGTCAGTAAGGTCTAGTTTTCACCTCCCTGGTTATAACGCCGCTCTGGTTATAATGTCATATTTCCGCTAGACGAAAGCTTAAAGGATAGCCAGGGAGGACTGTATTTATAAAATACTCATAGTTAGTGAGTTGGGTTTAACGCCGCTTTTAACAGTATTCCAGGTATATCACAGCGTGTCAGCTTAATGTGGGAGGAAAGCGCGAAGTGATGCAGGACTCAGACGTTTACCACTTCGGTGAAACCCACGAGCCCGGGTATGGTGCTGACAAACCTAGAAACATAATCGGGGCGAACCGGGATTCGAACCCACAATCATAGGTTTCTGGCGTGCCCAAGGGACGCAACTCTGCACAGCGAATCGCGGCGCCTTAGACGTCTGGGCCATCCGTGCCCCCTAAAATACTCATAACTCTTCATTGATAATATATCATGATTACCACCTTGGGTGTTATCGGTAACATTTAAAGGGAGATTAGTCTCGGATAAAATGGCATTGGCAGCAATTTCAAGTAAACTGCCGGGCAAAAGAAAGTATACATTTAAAAATTGGATTTGACCAAACCTTAACAAACGTGAGCGGGATGTAACCATGATGAAGACAGTCACCGAAACGCTGCAAACGTTTTGTAAAAACACATGTGGTACCCGTTTCAAATACATCTCCATCGTCTGACCATTTCTTGTTTGTTTCCTTTAAGCCACCGTCAAACTTTGGTGCGTATTTCTTATGCCCAGCAGTTTATAACAAACGACTGAGCGAAGATCACACAATAGGAAATGTATTTATAAATTATTGTATTATGTTTTTGTATCGATTTCAAAGTGTAAACACTTGCTTTGTGTACCGCATAGTACCTTCACCGTCGAGGACGCTCTTGTACATGCGTATACACAATACATGTATATCTACATGGTATATGTTATTTAGGGGTAATTATATGTCATTACGTTCTATTTAATAACCTACACGGTAGATTACCCGCAGATAGGGGAAAGCAGACGGCTCACAAACACGTTGAGAGCGAGTCTCGTGGAGTTCCCACGTGCTATATCCATCAAAGGTCAAGGTTAACCGCTGACATCCGGTAGACTATTGTTTCCGGGTGTTAATTAAGCATATTTTTGTTTTCAGGGAACGGTTTTAAGGTCGGGGTTGGAGTATCTTAGTTTGTCAGTGAGCCGTACCATACGTTGTGGTAATTACTTCTTGTAAGAGGCGACTAACAGGATCGGAGGATCAGGCTTGCTGACTTGGTTGATGCATATCATCGCATCCCAGTTGCGTAGATCGATGCTCATGTCAATCACTGGATTGTCTGGTCCAGACTCGAATATTTACAGTCCGTTAGGTGGAATATCGCTGAGTGCGGCGTTAAACAACAACCAAAACAGCATACAAACCAATGTGATTATCCTAACCAGAATCAGATTATAAATATTTTAATAATAGAAAACATGAACAACTCCTACACTAGGTTGTAGAATATAGGAACAAACATGGAGTCACCATTAAGAAGCTTTTTGGGTAGACTAGAGGTTGAAGCGTTCACCCTTCACATCGAAAACCAGGTTCAATGAGGGTGCCAATCCCCCCTCTCGGCGTCCGACAAACCACTTAATATATCTTGGCATAATATTTTCAACTATTGAGTCATATCAGTGTTCACAGCTGGTACAAGTGAATTAATCTGGGGTTTTCACATTGAATGCATGACCATGCATGCTCATAAACTGAGAACTAAATATGTGATTGATGTGTCACTCTTTGCAAGAAAAACGACGAAAATATAAATTTTCAACTCTAAAATAATGGCATCCGCGAACCGGATGTCATGTCATGGCATCCAGCGAATTTCCAAATTTGGCGCAATTGTGATAAAAATGATGTCTGATTCAATTCCCGCTTTTCATTTGTACGATGTGTTAACGTGTTTTTACCAGTTGAAACATTAACTTGCCTTTGCATGTGTTTGTGACGCGAACACCCGATATCACAATATCGAATAAGCAAGTACTCGTTGGCTATAAACTAGTCTCTCGTGACCCGGGTTTACCCTTCCCTACAGTCGACTCCGTAACGGCCATTAAAAGTTTAATATTTATATTTACGTTTTTATATTCTAGTTATATTGATCCTTTTCAGTGAAGCGGAACTCCGCAACAGTCCTGCCACCCACAATTCTTGGTCTCAAGAATACACATAGCCTAGTCCCTATTTGCATTCAGAATGGTCGTCAAACAGGTTTCCACTCACTCATTATTCGTAAACACATGGAACGCGCGGTTAAGTATTAATGAAATCAATAAATGAGCTCATTCAAGTGTGAGAATACTAATGCAGTATACAAGCAATGTGCTCAACCGTTTCGTGGACTAACCAGTTGAGCTCGAGACGTTTGTAAAGGCACGGTTCATAAACGTATGTAGTTACCTTTTAGTCACCTTTTAGTGTCCTAAGGGGCGGTCGGGTAGCCTAGTGGTTAAAGCGTTCACTCGTCACGCCGAAGACCCGGGTTCGATTCCCG